CTAGCACACTTGCATGATGATGTCAGTGTTTTTAGATAATGATCTTGAATTTGGATAGTTTGGAAACATTTTCAAGTATTTATGACCCAATTAAAGACTTGAAAAGAAGTATCCCTTGAGGAGGAAAAAGTCCAGATCTGCTATTTAATTCTTAATTGTGATACACTCTGTCCTAAAGAAAAGGATAAGCTCATCAGCTTGTGAAACTCAGTTATAATGTGATTATGACTAATTTTTAACTTATAGAATCACATAAGACTCTTAGAGCTGGAAGGGGCCTCAGAAACCACTGAGTCCAATCTGGAGAGGGAAAAGAACCCTTTTTACAACATATCTGACCAATGGTCATCTATCTAGCCTCTGCTTAATGATTTCTAGCAAGAGGAAACCCAGAAACTCCTGAAACATAACTTTGGGATAACCCTAATTATTAGGGACTTTTTTTGCCCTTACACCAAGGTGAAACTTTCATCTCTGAAGCTTGGACAATCAATAAACATTTATTTAGTGCTTACTATGTGTTAGGCAGTATGCTAGGTACTAGAGAAAAAAAGGCAATGAAATAGCCCCATTCTAACATCTGCCCTAAATGACCAAGAAGGCCTGTTCTATGAGGCAATCAGGTTCTTCTGCTTGAAGACTATAACATTTTCCTCTCCTCCTCCTAACAGACTGTTCCTCCAGCTTTTGCTCTTCTTCAACCCAACATGCCTAGTTCCCTTGAAGCCCTTTCAGTATCCTGGTCACCTTATGCTTGAGGGGCCTCAGTTTCTCAATGTCTATTTTAGAACATGGCAGCAAGACTCATGGACAACACATGTTGTCTGACCAGAGCAGAGGACAATGGGACTATTGGTTTCCTCCTTCAGGATCCCAGGAGTCTGAGGTAATGTAGCACCTGGGGGACTTTCTGCTCCTCATATTTTAGTCCCCCTTCCCTCAGGCAAGTCACTCCAGTTTTCAAGGTATTATGTGACACCAAATCCACTCCAAAACTTAAAGCTCAGGGATTCCCACGTACTCAAGGAGAAGGCGCAATTAGTTGAAAGCAAAGGTATTTAATGCAACAGCAGAGGAGAAAAGTCGCCCCAATCTTAAAGCATGCCCTCCCACAAATGTACACAACCTCAGGGGTTGGAGCAGATGTGCTTGGGGAAGACATATGGTCAGGATATGAATGTAGAGGAACACCTTCCATCTCTGATCTACAAGGCTGCTGATGCCTTCTTATGATATTGTAATGCTCCTGCTGGGCTCCCCCACTTCATGTTTCATATGGTATCCACTCTCTGTTAGGCTTATAATCTCTCCTGGGCATTGCTCCCTCCTGGTCTTGCCTGTTCAGTGCCAGATGGTGTTCTGCTGTTCTTATGCCTCCTCTCTCCTTGTCTGCCACTGGGTTGTCCTTTCAGGGCATCCATTAGCCAAGTCATCCCAACCCCCTGCTTAAACCATGAACCATCCCTGATGACCAATACACCAGCCCTGATGACCAACACCCCCTGTCATGGAGGACTCACTACCTCCAGAGGCAGCTATTCCATTTTGGGAAAGCTAATCACTAATACATTTTTTCCTTCTATTGTGTTAAAATCCAATTCCCTGCTATTTGTACACATTGATTTTGGCCCTCTAGGGTCAAGTAGAATTTAATCAAATTTAACTAGCATTCATTAAGTGCCTACTGTGCGAAAGGAACTGTACTAGATGCTAGAGATATAAAGACAAAATCATTCTCTGCCCTCAAGAAGTTTGTATCCTACTGTGGGAAATAAACCAATTCTTCCTTTTAAACAAAAGCCCTTTAAATACTTGAAAAAATCAACCATATTCCCTGTAAATCTTCTCTTTTTCTAAGGATGACTATATTTTATACAAACCAATCCTCATATGATTATAGTTTCCTGATCCTTTAGATGACCCCCTAAGCTATTTTCCTTTGGACAAATTTCAGTTTGACAACGTCCCTTCTAAAATCCAGCACCTAGATCTGAACACAGTACTCCAGGTACAACATGACCAACATAAAATACATTGGGCCTTTTGCTTCTTTGCTCTGGAGACTATAATTATATTAAGGTAGCCTAAGATTCCATTAGAATTTTTTAATTGCTAAATCATATTGAGCTTGTAATTAAACCCTTATTTTTTTTTCGACTTCAAATATTATCTTGATTCTTCGTTCTTCCTTACTGTATCAGTCTTCCCATGTTTCTCAGAATTTTTCATATCTATCTCTCCCATTCCATATTTGTACAGTTTCCTAAATATAATTACAAAACTTTACATTTTTCTCTTAAATTTCCTCTTCTCAATTCAGCCCACTCTTTCAGCCAGCCAAGGTAATTTTGTATCATAATTCTGTTGTTCAATGTAGCAGCTATCCTTCCCCGATTTGCATCATGTACAAATTTTACCATCATTTCATTTTTATTTTCAACTAAATCACCAAAGAAATGTCATTGACCTGAAGTTGAAAATGGAGCCCTGTAGAATACTGCTAGAGACCTCCCTCCACATTGATAACTATCCATTAATAATAATAATTGGGGTAGGTAGGTGATATAGTGGATAAAGCACTGGCCCTGGAGTCAGAAGAACCTGAGTTCAAATCCAGCCTCAGACATTTGATTCTTATTGGCTATATGACCTTGAGCCAATCACTTAACCCCTATTACCTCACCAAAATATGAGAATAGCCAGCATTTATGTAATACTTTAAGCTTTGAGAAGTGCTTTACAAATATTGTCTCATTTTGTCATCATAACAACCCTGGGGAAAGGTAGGTGCTATTATTATTTCCATTTTGAAGATAATGAAGCTGAAACAGAGAGTGGTTAAGTGACTTACCCGGGTCACACAACTGGGTAGAGTCTGAGGCAAAATTTGAACTCAGATCATCCTGACTCCAAGTCCAGCACTCTACTGTGCTGCCTTTCATCAATCAACATTCTTTGAATCTTGTCACTTATTCAGTTCTGTATATTCCTCCATGTCGTCCATAAGGACTTTGTAAGATACTCGAGTGCTTTGCTAAAATCTGGGTGTGCTAAGTATATAATATTTTCCTGATCTATGAGTTGAATAACCTTGTTAAAAAAAGGAAATGAGGTTGTTGCTTTAGTGTGACTTTTTCAAGATGAGTCCATGCTGGCTCAAGACAATTGCTGTTTTCTAAGTTTTTTTACAAAGCATCCTTTTTAATGAGTTTTCCAGAGGTTTTTTTTTTCCCAGAGTTCTGATAGGAACTAATTATAAACCCAGCAGGTTGTAGTTTGCCATGAACGCCTTTTTGAAAATTTGGACATTTTGTTCATCTCTAGTATGTACTTACTGGGACATTTCTCCATTTGCTTCCTGGTTCCTCAAAGAGTAACTTACACTAGAGAACTAGCAATCACACTTGCAGGTTGTTTGAATTCCTTGGGATGCAACTCGCCCAACTCTGGTAACTTCAATTCATTAAAGGAAATGAGGTATTGTCTTATCACCTCCTCACTTGTCTTTGCTCTCAATTTTCTCCTAACCCTTTTTGTTCAGTCCTTTTCAGTTTGAAGATGGTTCTTTTTTAAAAACAAGTTTTTCTGTTACCTTTTTTTTAATACTCTAGTAATGTTTCATTAACCCTTCTCCCCACCCCACTCCCCACAGCTTATTGGAACAAAGAAGCTTATTTAAGCAAAGACCCTGACACGACAAATAGTGTATACCATATTATGTAGCTCCCATTTCTCTACTGAAAGGAGGAAATAAATGTCCTTATCAGTCTTCCAAGACCAAGAATACTCATCCCATTCATCAGAATACAATTGTTCTTCAATGTTATTAATATTTATGCTTTTATTCATTGTAAATATTATCTTGATTCTTCGTTCTTCCTACTGCATCAGTCTTCCCATGTTTCTCAGAATTTTTCATAATCATCTTTTTTTTACAGAGCAATGTTTCCTTTACATTAATGTATCACAATTTGTTCAGCCATTCCCTAATCAAAGGGCACCCACTTTATTTACAGTTTTTTGACTCCACAAAGAGTGTTATATGCATTTTGTTATATGTGTATATATACATATATACACATATGTGTGTATATGTGATTATGTACATACATATATAAGTATACATATATACATATACATATGTATGTGTATGTGTGTATATACATATACATATATACATATGTGTATATATACATATATATACACACACATACACACACATATGTATGTATGTACGTTTGTATGTATAACATCTCCTTTTTTTCTGCCATTGACCTCCTTGGGGTATATGTCCAGTAGTGAGATCCCTGGGTCAAAGGTATGAACAATGTAATAACTTTTCCCAAATAATCCTAAATTGATTTCCAGAATGGTTGGGCCAGTTCATAGCTCTACAAACAATACATTGGCAGCCACTGAAGACCACGCTTCTTGATAAGAGAAAGCAGAAGCAATGTGCTTAGGACAGAGAGGAAGTTAGGAGTGATTGCTTGAAGTGCTTCATGTTATATGACCCTGAATTAGGTTTTTAACCAGTGAACAGATATTTCTGCTGTGAGTAAGTGAGGAAACAAGGCTAGTCAATAATGGTCTTAGTACAAATTTAAATGTGAAATTTGAAAAATGAACATCCTACCTGGTTTCTAGTTTGGGCTCTTATTAATAGCCCACTCCAGTCAGACAGAGTCAAAACAATTTGCTGCTGCTATAGCTGGTTTGGTTTTTTGTTTATTTGTTGTTTTGTTTCTGTTTGCTGTTTTTTTTCTTTGTTTTTTACAAAAGAGTCCTCAATAAAATTATAATCAATATAATAATAAATAATATAATAATAAAATTATTATTATCAATGTAATATAATCAATATAATCAATAAAATACAGTACAGAAAATAATAAAAGAGTGGTCCACAACTTTAGACCAAAAAGTACACTTACCTCAGCCAAGAGTCTTTTGAATGCTTAGTAATGAGTCCCCCCATTTTTTTTTACATGTCAGCACCCCAATCTTGTACTTTCATAGTGTTCATCTAGCATAAATATTTGCAGAGCCAAAACACACCGGAGTTTCACGTTTCAGAAGATGATGTCCACCTCCTGTCTATGATCATAGGATGTACTTGGCTGTCCATGTGAAATTTATAAGAGAGGAAAAAAACCCCAGCTAGCAACATCAAGACGGCAGATAGAATCGCCACAATAACGGCATTCCCGATTTCCTGTGCTTTCGGCCTGGGGGGTATATAGAAAATAACAGGGAAGGTTATACTCTTGTTTTGAGACACTGAGTGAAAATTCCAGATTGCACAAATTAAGATACAGATCCCAGCAGATGAATAAAAGAATCCTCCAACAGTAAATGCATTGGCGGTTGTTGACCTACGAGCATCTCCCGTGTAAAAGCTCCTTAATGCGATGATAACGTAGGCTTTTGCCATGACCCCCAGAATGCAACCGAACAGAAAGATGTGCTGAACAGCCCGAAAATCCCAGGGCAGAAAAGTGTTGGACACGCTGTAAACGTGGCAAATCTTGGCAGATCTCCCTTGAGGAAAAAACAGGAAGGTGCCATAAAAGCACGCTTTCCAGATCCCCACCCAAGCGATGTCAGAGGAAAAGATGGAAGTTGTATTGACCAAATGCCATACCCTCCAATCCGATTGTCCCATGGAGGCGACAGCCAGGATCCAGACGGCAGTGGCTAGGGCTAAGGCTAAAACTTGAAGGTTACCGCTAGTGAGATGGCTCATGGCCAGGATAGCTTCAGGAAATGTCAGGTATTTATAGCTGCCCTGGAAACAAACATAGGTAACTATTGTACAGCGTGCACATCCCTAGCAGCTTAGAAATAAAAAGGGATATGGCAGGGAATACTTTGGGTAATGCTAAATGTTTTTAAATGAAGTGCTAACAATCTCTGGAAGGAGGGTAAGAATGGGTAAGTGGTGGTTATAGTTATTGGGGTTTTGGTTTTTGGGTTTTTTTTTTTTTTGCCCAGGGTCACACAGCTAGTAAGTGTCAAGGGTTTGGTCTGAGGCCCGATTTGAACTCAGGTCTTCCTGACTTCAGGGCGGGTGCTCTACGCAGCCCTCTTGTTATTGTTTTAAATAGCATAACTGCTTCCATCTGATCTAGGAACACCACAGTAGTACCGTCCCATATGGCATTAGCTGAGAGTCAGAAATCCTGGGTGTAAAGAGAAAAACGTTTTGAATGTGCAGTCAGGAGAGACCTGGGTTTAAATTCTACTTTAAGCACTTAACACTTATTAGCTATGCAATTCTGGGCAAGTCAGTTCAGTTGTCTGAGCCTCTGTTTCAGCTTCTTATCCGTGAAGCACAGACAAGAATATCTGTAGTGTTGCTGTTCAGCTGTTTTTTTCAGTCATATACAACTCTTTATGACCCCATTTGGGGTTTTCTTGGCAAAGATACTGGGGTAGTTTGCCATTCCCAGCTCATTTTACAGATGAGGAAACTGAGACAGTTAAGTGACTTGCCCAGGGTCACATAGCTAGTAAGTGTCTGAGGCTGGATTTGGACTAATGAAGATGAGTCTTCCTGACTCCAGATCCTGCAACCCTATCCACTGCATCACCTAGTTCCTTACTTCAAAGTACTGTTTTAAAAACTACTGGCTCTGGTCTTGGAGGAAGAGAATTTAAATTTCATTTCTCACACTTTCTGCCTATGTACCTTGAGCTAGATAACTAACTTTTCTAGGACTCATTTTCTTCTTTTATGAAATGGGAGGGTTAGACCAGATGGTTTCTAAGATTCTCTTGTAGCTCTAAATCTATGATTTTATATGATCCTTTAGATGATCAACTAATCCATAAGCCTTCATTAAATACCTACTAGGTGCTGGAAATTGTACTAGATGTTATAAATACAAATACAAAAAAGAGGTGGCTCCTCCCCTCAAGGAGCATATCTCCTAATAAAGAGGTACATTATATTCACAGCTAAGTAAATGTAGGCTATATAGAATATAAATACATTGTGGTGTTGAGGGGTAGGGAGGGAGCACCAACAACTGAGAGAAATAGGAAAGGCCTCTGGAAATAGAACTTGAGTTCAGCCTTAAAGGGATCTGGGGGGTTGCAAGAGGTGGAGATAAAGAGGGAACCCATTCCATCCTGGGGCGGGGACAGAGGAGGTGTCAAAGGCTGTAGTCAAGAAGGATAAAAACTGAGAAAAGGCCACTGGATTACAGAGATCATTGGTGACCTTGAAGAAAACAGCTGCATGAAATGCATAAAATGAAATACATAGGATTGCAAAATGCAGTATTTTAAATAAGTAAAATATTTAAATACATTTCATTTTCATATATTTCATAATCAATATAATTGGTTTATTATTGAAATATAATTATGAAGTGTTTTTTTTAAAAGCCCATGGACCTCAGGTTAAGAATCTCTGCATCAGGAGCCAACAGGATCAAGTAAAGTAAAGGAGTCAGTGAATAAAGAAAAGGTTGAAAATTAGGGAGATAAAGAATGATGGAAGGGACAGGTTGCTGGAGGAGGCAAGAGGGTATAAGATCAAGGGCATTGTCCAGAAGTGATACCTCTTCTTCTAGAACCAGAGCAAAGGAAGACAGGAGGGGAATAACACCAAGGTGATTTGAAGTATAGAATTCAGGAGGTGAGGGAGCTGGCAATGCATGGCCACAGTTTTTTGTTTTGTTTTGTTTTTCAGTAAAATGTGAGATGAAATCTTTTCCTGGGCAGGGATTAATATATGCAAAAAGCTATATAAAAATCAGCTACTATTCCCTCTCTAACATACCCTGCCCCATGACACCATTGTGTAATATCCACCACAGGAAATTCATCTCCATATAGCTAACTTTAAATAAGATTTCAAACCAGAAGATGTCTGTAAGGATCATTGCCTGAAGTCATCAAAATGCAAAGTATTTTCATTATCTCTAATTAAAGTGTTTGGAGAGTTTAACTTCTTGGTTCTTTGCAAAGCAGGGGAACTAATTTTCACTTAAATGTATCACATTTAAATAAAGTCTTCCATGTAATACAAGCAGTTTTTCAGTCACTGGAGACCCAAGTATGAAGAGCAGTCAGTCTTCCACTTCTTCAGCACACACCTTGTAACAGTGTCCCAACTAAAATGTATTTTTTGGAACCTTGATGGTCCTCATAAGAATGAGAGATGAAGAAGTGATTTGGCTGCTGTTAATACAGGTCATAAGTGGCAGAGCTTACTCAGAACATTCCTGACACTCAAAACTAAGTACTTTTCCCACTTATGCCATGCCACCTTCTTCAATATATTTCAAGCCTCAAAGTAATCTGGGGCCAAATTAGCTTGAGACACATTATATTATACATAGTTAACACTCGGTGTATGTTTCTTTTATTTCTTATTTATTGATTGATTAGGTTGTTCCCTCGACCTAATGATCTACAGATTCTTCCATATCTTGCCCATTCTCAATCAATCGATCAATTAACAAGCATTTATTAAATGCCTGCTATGAAGTGAATTGGACTGCCTTGGGAGGTAGTTGGCATTTATTAAGCAGCACTGTGCTAGGCATGCAAAGAATAAAACAATCTCTACATACAAGGAACTTGAATTTTGATGGGAAAACAATATGTACAGAATAAATAAATACAAAGTATTTTAATTCAGGGGCAGTTAGGTGGCTCAGTAGATACAGCACCAGGCCAGGAGTCAGGAAGACCCGAGTTCAAATATGGCCTCATACACTTAGTAGCTGTGTGACCCTGGGCAAGTCATTGATTCCTGTTTGCCTCAGTTTTCTCATCCGTAAAATGAGCTGGAGAAGGAAATGGCAACCCTCTCCTGTATCCTTGCCAAGAAAACAAACAAAAAGAAAATGGGGTCATGAAGAGTCTGATACAACTGAACAACATTTTAATTCAAGGTTGTTAGGGAATGGGCAGGGGTGGTAGGACAAGTGTCACTAGCAGCTGAGGAAATTAGTAAAGGCTGATTAGTAAAGGTGATAGGGGAGCTATATCTTGAACGAAGAGAGGTAATGGAGGTAAAAGAGCCAGTATATTCCAGGAATGGGGGCAGCCAATACAAAGGCGAAGAAATGGGAGAGAGAATGCCATGAGTGAAGAACAGAAGGCCAGTTTGCATCAGAGAGTAGAAAGGGAGAGTAAGGCTAGAAAGATATTTTGGGTTGTAAAGGGGTTTAAAAGGCAAACAGAAACACTAATATTTTATCCTAGACAGATTAGGGAGCTAGTGGAGTTTATTGAGTAGAAGAGTAGCATCCTCAGATCTGCTCTTAAGGAAAACCATGTTGGTACCTTAGTAGGGGATAGACAGGTGTGGAGAGAGACTTCAATGAGGAAGACCAATTAAGAGGCTGTTGACGTAGTCTAAGGAAGAGATGATGAGAAGCTGGACTAAGTGGTGACTGCCCAAACCAAATCTATACATCCAGCCCTAATTTCTCTCCTTAACTCTTACCCTACTTCATCTTGTCTTCTTCTGTTGACAATGCCAAACTAAAATTTCCCCACATTTGTAACCTTAGGGAGACTCTTCCTCCCCCCTCCTCTAATCAATTGCCAAGCCCTGTTCTACTTCCTCAAAATTTCTTTATTCCATCCTCTCCATTTGGATATCCTATCAACATCTCACACTCAACATGTCCAAAAACAGGATTCAGCATTTTCCCAAGCCCCCCACCTCTCTTCCAAACTTCCATATATCTGTCAACAATACCAACTAAGAGTCACTCCCCCCCTCCAAATTAATAATTTTGTAATCACCCTTCACTCTCCTCTTCTCCTCTATATCTGATCAGCCGACAAATCCTACAGTTCTGTCTGCACAGAGTCTCTTGAATCCATCCCTGGTTTTGTACTCAAATGCCTACCACCCTAGTTCAGACCCTCCTCATCTGTTGTCTAGACTATTGTAATGCCCTCCCAATCCATCTCTTTGCTTCTAATCTCTCCCCTCTCTAATCCATCCTGCTTACCACTGATACGATATTTCTCTTAATTCTGAATATGCTAAAAATACCTTCTTCAAGGTATTTCTCCAAATTCTTTGTTACTTCAGAAATAAAATACAGATAGACCTCTGCCTGGCTTTTCAGGCCCTCCCCAATCAGATTCCAATTCATCTCTCTAACATTATTTCACACTATTCCCTTCACATACTCTGTGTTATAGCCAAACGGGAATACTTGCTATTCCTCAAACTTGACATTCCATCTCTCACCTCTTCTTATGAGCCATCTCTCCTATTCAGAGAACGAGCTGTCTTCTCAAATATATCCTTATTTTCCTTCAGTTTATATGCTAGCTCTTCCTTTCCTGATTTCCTGATTTCTCCCTCTTTCTGTTTGTATTTCTATAGCTCTTTGTTAAATCTCTCCTTTTCCGCTTTTGCTCCCTTCCATGAATTATACTTAGGTGTGTTCAAATTGTATTTCCCTCCCCACCCCCACCAATCCCCAACTAGAATGAAATTTCTGGAGGGAAGAAAATATATATTTTTTCCTTTGGCTTCCCAATGTCTTCCCAGTACAGAGCATTGTAACTAGCAGGCACTTAAATTTATTTGACAAAATTAGTTGGCATAAAATTAATCTCCCCTGAAAATTACTAGCACATTGACTGTACCTTCTGTGTGTGTTCATCACATTTCACTTTGGATTATAGTTACTTGTGATCACTTTAAAATTACCCTTACTAGATTATAAGGGTAAACAAATTTTAACATGATACAGTTCCTCC